CCTTATTACCATGTAATTACAAGATAATAAAAAAGTAATTGAATGCAATTACTACCTTATCACTATGTAATTACGTGGTCATTAGGGTACAATTTAACTATGTCATTAATTGTCTGCAGTAATGTAGCACTTACCTGGTAATGTATTACAATTCACTATATGTAACACCTAAATAAGTAGTAGGTAATTTGGACAATTTTGTTTTAAGTTACATTTTACTGCAATTAACCACTAACCCCAAAATGTAGTTGCATTCTTTTGGTTATATAGTGTTGAGTTACTATTGAATAGTAATTTGATTGTAGTTACCCAATAAAGGTAGTTTTACTAACAGTAGTTTTTCTTTTGTGCCCTAATTACCATTTAATTACATTTTTATTACCTTGTAATTACATGGTAATAAGGGTACCATAAAATAAAGAGTTACCATTTCATCTAGAAAACATAATGAGACTGGTCTGCACACCTGTGTTCTAAAGCACAGCAATATTCTGACTTCTGATTTTAGTTTAAATAAATCACAGCTCTATTAAAATCCTGCTTTACAAGTTACACGTCTGTTGCTCTGGATCATCTGCAGGGCCTCTTTGCAGCTTTGACCAAAGCAAGTCACCACAGCAGGGAAGGTTAGTTCAGGAAATTCTCCTGTTTATTTAAATACATCTTGTGAAACAGTGATCTGTTAGTGCTGATAGCTTCTGTCAGTTCAATAATTCTCTGTCTCTGTTAACCAACAGAAAACTAAATATTTAACACATTTCAGGCAAAGTGCTGAGAGGAAAACAAGTTATTGTTTTACTATTTTACAAGTCATTCTGCAAAACTAGAGCAAACTGTTGTGAATGGTTTGAAGTAAAACTTTACTTTGATGGAAGCTAAAGTGATCCACAGACGTTCCAATCAACCGTGGACGGCTTTAGACAGAGAACAGCCTAAACTGAGCTTCTCCTTCCATGAAGCCGCTCTGTTGTCCAAACTTTGGCAGTTTTTGATGGGTTACCTTCATTATTGCTTCTACTTTTCATTTAAAATAAGTTTCCATTCTCAGYAGGTTTCTAAGGTTCTTCTTCTACATATTAAAAGAGTGGTGCACTACTGCTACTAGTGGTGAGAAAGTGTATTGCACCTTTTTCAAAATCAATGCAGTCCCGCGGCCCTCTGCGGCCTTAAGTTAAAAACTGTTGTTCTTTTGAGGCTCTCAAGGTGGCGCTCATGGTCCACAGGTTAAGAATCTCTGACTTGAAGCACTGACTAGTCTCTACAGATTGAATGATCTGTATTGTTTTTGTAGAGAGGTCTAGTAGAGTGCTGAATGAATGAAAAAGTGAGGACACACTGTAAAGAGCTTTGAGCATCCTGGTTGGATAGAAAGGTGCTGTAGAAGTACAGTCCATTCACTTTTTAGTTTTTCTTTCTCCTAACATTGAAAACTACCAATAAATGTCACCATTTTAAAAGTGTTAACACAGGTACTGTATACTGCTGTAAATTTAATTAAAACAAATAAAAAAATGTATGAGTCTCACCATGCTCAGAGTCAGTCAACAAGAAGACATCTGGATGGTCCGGATCATCAGTCATCATGACCATGAGTCCCACCACGCACACACTCTTACTGGATGTGGACTTAAACTTTCAGAAGAGCAATAAAAACACAATTACTTTCCTCCGAGTCTTTTCCCCACATCTTATCAATTTAATTAACGGTGGTCGTCAAAAACATGAATACAGAGGTGGCATACTGAAACCTGACTGCAGATCAGTTTATTACTGCAGCTGTTTGGACAAAATGAAACTTAACACACCTTTAAAGACTTACTGATCACTGTGGTTGTTAGTAGTTGTTATAAACCAAATATATTTCACTGTGAAACTACATAAAAAAGCTGAGCCCTGCCCACCAGAAACCTGTTGAACATTAGCTGCGTTTCCATTGATCATGAAAATGTGCAAATTAGAATTTCGAAAATAAATTTGCTCAGTGGAAACACGTCGATTTTGAAGAAAATTACGTTTTTCGACAAAATGTTTTTGCACTAGGATGAGGTGGTTTTTCAGCCTATCGAAACTGGTG